TGTGTAAAATTAATGCGTTATACAATTTTTATTTCACTAAGGTATACCCCGAGAACGTAAATACGATTAATCTAGACAAGTCAAGCTCAACTAACTGGTAGAATTGTGTCCGATCAATGCAAGAATTTGGTGTCAAAGTGACCTACATAGTTCATCTCTTAACGTGTACAAACGTTTATTGAACTTGAAGTTGAACGCTATTCATATATTGTAGGTGAGCTGACAGACTCAATGAAGCTAATCACCTGCAACTACATTGGTTCATTTATACTGCACTTTACTAATATACCCAGTGATCATAAACAACTTACAGATTATAAAGGTGAGAAGTGTAAATACGTATATAAAGGCATCATACATATATATATATTATTTCAACTCATAGAACATTAATGCTTTAAGTACTTCCACACCATCTAATGCATTACCATATCAGCGCCTTTTATGGCACTGATGCATTTCCATGGAGTTTGTGACGTGCATCGAGCTCATGCTGACCTCGGTCCATTGCAACTAAATGGCGATATCAGTGAGGATACAAACATATTAAATTCTTACCCCGACTTAAAATAAATCGCAGTGGATCGAGGAGAACCAAATCAAATTTGTCACCAGTTTAATTATTCTTTTACAGTCTCCATCTGCTTAATTAAGGCTTCTAAGTTGGTACGTGCGCATGTGACATATGTCTAGTCAACAGGTATGAAGTAAGGTTGAGAACTTTAATTAACACATATCACTGTACGTCTGTAGTACCATTATGAACACCACTTCATCCCAGCAGGCCAATTACGTCGAAACCACACTGACGCAACTGTAGGTCCTAGCATTCAAGTTGAAAGCGGACGGAAATGCGATTGTATGTAGGAACCTAAGATTTTCACGTTTATTAAAACAACATCGATATTCAACGTTGAAAGAAAATTTGCAAATTGCATGTGTTATAGTGCATTTTGCCCCCTATTCCATGTATGGGGCTAAGTGACAGAGCCGTGTGGTAATTTGTCCTGTCATAATGCTATTATACGCTGTTCCGGGTGTCAAACAGGCAGACGAACCTTAACCAAGGTTATCCTAAAGTCACAACAATAAGTGTACGTCCGTGAATGTCGACCAGTAAATTTGAATGCAAATGTGTGTAATTTCAATGTAACGTTATTTCAAAATTGACAGATTTCCACTTTGATTTCGTTTGAATATTAAATGACGTTTATTCAATGTATGAATATTACATTGATTCAATACGTTTACCACAAATTTTGCCCACTTTTTCCCTCATCCGTATGTTTTTACAGTACATATATCACTGTACATTCATTCGATACAATGTGTATCATATAACATTACTGAGATTTGACATCCTTCACTAGATGGATGTGTGTGCCGACCTGAATTAAACGTCCCATTATTTGATTGCGACGTTGGTTATTGATGTCAAAGTTTGATGTTGCGTCGCTATTATATATGTATAACGTAGAAACAACGTTAACGATATTTTGCCGCGTCGAATAGACATCGAACTGATGGCGTTGTATTGATAGTTGATGCACTTTGTCAGACTTCAAAACCTAGTTTAAACATACTAACAACGTGTGTATGGTGCCGGGTGCCAGCTGTGACATAACTATTATACTGTAATGTGCAGTACACGGGAACTTTTCTTTTATCACGGAGCGGAGCGTATTAAATAGCCCCGCTCTGTTCCTCCCTGGGGGGAAATCCCCAAGTAATAGGGGAGATTAACCAGAGCAATATGAATTGAAGTTGAACTTGCACCAATACGCTGGTATAACAGCCATCACACAAATCATGATGGACTGGACCGATGATTAGGGATTCAACGAATGTACAATCATTCTGCTTGCTGAATGATAGAGCAGAAGCCCAAGACACAACACAGGGATAAGTGTAAACCCGGGATCCTGGGCCAATATATCTAATATCGAGCAAATTTTATTGAAACACAAACAAAAGTGGTTAAAAATGAACATGGCTGGCAATCGGCCATTCTAATCATTTGTATAAACGTTGGGCAAACTTTGTCGAAAAATGGATAAGGGCACATGAAAATAAAATCAACATGGAATTTAGTCGGCCACTTTGAATTAAAACACAAAATTAACAGGCATGCATCAGTGGCCCACCATGTTTTATGTTCATACTGAGTTTCAATAAAATCGGCTAAAGTACTAGTATGCTTTTAAAATTGTTAATATTGAATTTTATTTGGGGTTGACAATGGTCAGGCCGTGACGTCGATGTACGTCGAAATATGCTTATATGCTATGTTATTTCTAGTTTATATTTCTAGTGCATCTAAAAAAAAAAAAAAACTAGTAGAAAACACGGAAAAAATCATTTTGAACCAAATCGCAAAACTGAAAAACGTACACCAATAAACCACCATGGCTGTAGTCAATGCCAAGTTTTAATGAAATCTTCTGGGGCATGCCTGAGAACCGGCATATGACATATTGAAACGTTAATTTCTGAAGATATTAAAACAAAAATGGCTGCTAATCGGCCAATGGTTAACGGAGCGAAAAACAAATTGACGTACACATGTCTGATTATAATTTGTCTTTGAACCAACATTGAACAAAATTGGTCCTGGCATGCAAAAGAAATGATATCGGACATACAGTCAGAAGGTAACAAGACCCCGTTTTGGACTACGTCTGACGGGAGCAAAAAAATATCTGTCGCGTCGGAAGAGAAGGTTCAGACCCGACATTTAAACAGAAGACTGGTGATGGTTTATTATCATTAAGCATTTACTGTTAAATTGTATGTCTAGTAAAATATAGTATAGCAAACCTTCGCCTAGAAAAGGACACGACCTCCTAATCAGAAGGCTGAGGCAAACTGGTCTGTTTGGCCACAAAATACAGTAAACGCGACAGGGAGGTATGAGAGGCTGCACGTTGCTTGGCGAACTAACTGCCTGCCATGCCATGTCACAGATCTAATCCTGACATTCGTACAGCAACATGTATAATAGTTATTTGTACTGTTCTAAAAACCACAATTAGACAAGATTTTCTGATTCGAGCAATTATTTTATTATGTATTCAAGCATTTGTTTCAAAAAAACAAACATTTATGTACCTGGAAGGCAATAAAAAACGAAAATGACTTTTAAATTATCATTTCATAAAGATGTACAAATAGAGTATATACAAAGATGTTATACCTTCACGTCTACAATTCCTCAATATCAATACTAGAAAAATACATGTTGAAAAACTGGTATCTTTTAAAATTTTAGAAACAAAAATAGAAATTCCACATTTCTCTACGATTGCAATAAAGTCATAAAGTCTTGCCGTAAAATACATTTGGTTAAAATACCCGTTTTCATTCAGTAAATCCTTAAAAAGTATAGTATATATAGATTGACAGAATTGTTGTTGCATAGTATACAGTGAATACGACACTGAAGTTATTGATCTACCACATCTGTGTTGTCACCAACACCTGATTCACCATTACATTCGAACTATACAACAAATATGTATATGTATATTAAGGACGTTTTGTCATTGCCTCTTCCATTAGCAACACGCATTGATTAGACACAAAAGCGTCTTTCTCGCTTCCTATAGATTGTTTTGAAAGACTAGTGGTCGATCCCGGTCGAATTACAAGAAGGGCAGTGAAAGGAATATGAAAGTAACATTACGAGCAATATGATCCAAAAAATTGATTCATCAATAAATACTATTTCACACTTTTTTCACGGATTTCCGCAGGCTAAGAATGACACAATAAAGTTTCATTCAGTATACGGAGAATGTAGGCCATGGCAACCTAACAGGAATTCTGGTCATTTACACATTAAATGCTTTGTAACTGTGCCCAACTTCGGAAATTCGAACGCGTTCTAATAAACGTATACACTAAAAAAGCACAGAAAGATGCAGTGCAACAAGTCTGCGTAAAAGCGGTCAATGATGTCATATTCTCCATAACAAAGCCAAGAACCCTTCTTACATTATGACTAAAAATAATTCTGATGATGTTTTTTTATCGTTACAATCAAATAACATGCATATATATATAAGTTAGTGTGTTCAGTCCCGTGGAAACAAGACATATACCATTTAACATAACAAACTGTTATCTTATCTCCTTGTTTTTGTCGATTTTATACCTAATTAAAATGCCTAATTACCTCATCTCATAATGTATTAAGTATGTAAAGTTATGGGACACACACAGATTTGTATCTAATCAACTATGCCCGCGAGATGCAACCAAAACTTTAATTAAAGGATCATTACACTTTTAGCTTTTAATATACCACACTTTGGGTAACAAACAATATAAATGCCCAGCTTATCAGATTACTATAGGACGGTCCCTTACAGACAGATATGCTTATATCGCAATTACATTTGTAACTTTTATGAAACATTCAGCAGTTGAGTCTTCTATTTGTAGTAATTGTTGAATCATATATTTTATGAATAACTATAACACCTCAGTCAAGTTCGAAGAATTTTCAAGCAAATGGGCATTGTGATCTCGTTGTGTTCCTCAAGTAGTGATTAATGTATCCCCAACATCATGTCCACTGTTCCAAACCATATGGTTACATAGATCAGTGGAGAAACAGATGTGAGGAAGGGACAAACTGTAACACAACTTCAGAGGTAAAAACTATTTTAGTCTAAGGTTGATACTCCCCCCCTGATTACATATATTTACCATAGTTAGATGGATGTTAAATATCATGAACATGAGCTGCAAATTCCCGTCATGAACCACATTCAAGGAAGTGTTCAGAGTATCACACACACCATAAATCCTCCATAGTATATTTTATCATGGTCAACATCTTCAATACTGGAAATTATACACCACAAGAAGAATCCAATGGAGTTAAATTGGTGATAAGAAACACATTTTCGGTATTATGCAGTAGTCTCTTAATTTCATAAACATGAAAAGACGCTGGCATTGAACTAACCTAGACGTCAGTGCTGCTTATCTTTGACTTATTCCAGCCCACGCTCCAGAGTCTCATTGTCTGTTGAACCATGGAAATGTTGCCTCAAATACTCCCTCGACTGGATATCAGCCTGAAAGCAAGATAAGAAAACACTTTTCAAAGACTTAATTAAAATTATCTGTTAATTTCACTTGACTGAACTAATTATGTATTCATCTGGTAGATAGTACATCCCAAAATAACTGGCATGCTGTAGTATCTTTCAGGGAACTTAAACTTATCGCTAATGGGTAGAAAATTGGTATTAAGTGGCGCTTACTAAGAGTCAGTAAAATTGTATTTAATTGTCCCTATTTTGGAATTTAATGACGTTAACTTGATAAAGTAACTATCAAGTTTATCCATGACAGCAAGAATACTGTTGATAAGCTGAGAGTGATTGACTGCAGCCTCAATCTAGGAAATACCCAGAAGGCATAACATAACTTATATTGAAACCTTGTGTTGAAAAGACAGTCCAAGCAATATGCAATGCCTTTGTACAAAACACAAAACTGATGGGTTAATCAATATGCACGCAAATGTACAAAAAAGGTAATAACATTGATTAAATGATACAAATAAAAAAATAAATGATAAACAGTGTTGCATCATAACTACATTAGTTTGACTGCTAAAATAATTGTGTGAATTGAGTGTCATGTATCGACTAATATAAATGAGCGATTATACCATATTAGATTCATTACATATACATGTTGTAGTACATGCACATATGTAAATGACAGATGGTCAAAATAGGACATTTTGATGATTCTCAGCTAATTTGTTTAACTCCATTTATTTCTTTTTAGATTTTGTGCCATTTTGAGCAATACATTACTGCGCATAGAAGAAGTAATTTATTTCAATTAGATCAAGTCTTGTGTGTATTATGTCTATATGCTAAGTAGCATTGCAATCTGATGACGTATCAGTGAAAGGAACACACACACACTCACACACTCACACACTCACACACACACACACACACACACACACACACACACACACACACACATACACACAGACAGGCACACACATGCATAGGGTAGAATCAAAGACACCTAACTAACTGCATGGTTTGCACAAAAGAGTTACTTATATTTATTTAGTTCAGTGAGGCAAGTTAGAGTATTTACATAAACATTACACCCAGTACACAAAGTCTTACATATAAAAAGTTTAATATAGGCAAATAAACTGTAATAGTATAACAATCACTCATACCATGATTACATGTCCCTTAGTCCCTTTGGATTATTATCTGTATCTGTTCTACTGGTTGATAAGATATCAAGTGATGACACAAAATAAATTGAGCTATTGTATAAGAAAAATGTAATCTGGCAAACAACAATGATAGATATTTTATACTTTTCTCCCCCAATCTACAATAAAGACAATTTGGTAAAAATAAATGCAGCGAAATCATTTAGTGTGAGATTAGACAGTATGATTTGAAATAATATATTTGTAACGGATTTAAAAAATAAAAGGATTTTTTTAATGTAACAGCAGTCACTGTGTCATTTGACATTCAAAAGTGGGTCGATTGAAACATGGTACTCCCCTTGTTTGAATCCACAAGTAACATAGATATTGAATTTGATATTTCTTATGTCCGTTTTTCATATGACATATATGACTGCCAGTAAAAGCGGCAGAAAATTTTCCATCACGTTTTGAGAACTCCAGAGATTCGACAAATAAGCAGGTCAGAGGTCATATTCTAGATTCTAAAGTTAAGTAAATGTATCACAGACTGGTCAACAATAATAATAATTAGTTTCAGATGACAAGCCACGACTGCAAAGTAATGATTACAAAAACTGGTATGTTGTTGCGCTTTTCAAAACAATTATCTCTTTTCATTTTCAGATTACTGGTGTACGTACCGGTAGTCATGATACTTTCTCCGCTATAAGTTTACATAAACATTTCTCAGCTCAGAAACTAAATAATGTTCACGGTGAGGAATTCAGAAATATACAAACAAATTACACACTCACTCGATAACATAGTGCTGACAGAGATAATGGAAAATGTACGTTCTTTGACACCTGATTAAAAATGCTCTAAAGTACTATCGCTTCGTGCGAGATTTCCTCACAAGCTTGAAATCAACATTCATTTGTACAGTACCATTGTGCATTTGAAAAAAATGAGCTAAAAGTTTAAGTTTAATAAAGAAGATAAAAATCAATCGCAGGTTTGAGTGGTATTTAGAATAAAATAAATACTATTGAATATTCAGCAAGTAATTCTCTCCTGAAATCAGAGAGTAACCCTCCAAATTGCTTTTTTATCGACTTTGATCAAACAACAATATTATACACATACCGGCAAGGTGATGGGTTCGCAGACATGTAACAGTAGAAAAATTCACATGAAACAATAATCAAAATTTGAAATAATTTGTCTTTTTTGTTGGGGATGACATGAAGCTCAAACAAACAAAAAGCCCATTTTCACAGCCACAGAAACCTAAAATTCGGTAGATACACCAAAACTAGAACATTTTGTATTAGACTTTTAAATGAAATGATTTTAAATAAAAGTATATACTTATATTATTGTATGTACATATGTGTGTATATTGTGAAGTTTATGTTGAATGTTCGATGGAAGAAAATACCCATGATGCTGTGCTCCATTTTTTTTTTTATATTATAAACACTATTGTGAATATTTGTTTATAATTAAAAATTGATGAATAATATACCCTCACTATTGCATGTGTAAAAAACAGTGTTGTTTGTAGCTATAGCTTACTTAGCAGAGAATAACTTGGATTGTTTGTTCAGTGGTAATATAATGCACTGATATTGCCTGCAATAAAAAAGATTCATTTAGATGGAGTTTATTTTCACTGATAGGTAAATGCGAAAACTTAAAACCCCCGAGTAAATATTAAAATTTAACCACCAAATTTAGAATCTACTGAACAACAAATCTGCTGAAGTTAAACCCAGTGAATATTTTCTCTTCTAAAAGCATGGTTTCACTGAAATAATCAAACTCAACTGGGAACCCTGGAAAACTGATGGAAGGTTAGGATGCTGGAAAGGGAGTGTCAATTCAAGTAGAGTAATAACAAAACAAGCGCTTTACCATCACAGACAAACACTTGTGGTATGTTGTATTGAAAACAGCAATAGGGAAGAACCCTGCATGGAACTGAACAAGAAATTCCCATGGGAAGATTTCTTGAAAGAAAACAGTTTGACAGGCATGAAGGACAAATTAATTAATTTGTTCCATGTAGTAAATGCTTCATCTTAGAGGGAGTTTTTCTAAACTCATTCACAAGTGATGACAATTTGATTCAAATTACTTGAATGATTTGTTAAGATTTCTCAGACTTGGGTTTGAACTTGAACTTTTTGAACTTTTTGAAAGAAAAACAAGTGTTTCAAGGTTAAGAAGTATAATTCATCCATTATTGGCAAGAAAATAACGAAGTATACTGTTGTTTTCTCTGTTTGAGGTGCATTTCCGAGAGAAGTACACACAAACTGAACATTTAATTCTCTGTAACCTTGAATATATGGTTTTTTTAAAACACCACTGTCATACATTGTATCCTGTGTGCATTTGAAAATATAGTACATATAACAGCATCCGGTCATAATTCACAGCAATATGTATGTTGTTAATTGCTTTTCCAAGCCCATATTCAACAAAATGATACACATTTATATAAAAGAAGGTATAAATACAACAAAGGATTTATAAGATGAGTGATTTTGAGAAGTTGCATGCATTGCGAAATGATTACAAAATCAAAAGTACATTTTGACTTTACCTCACTTTCTCACACGCAAGAATGACGAGCATAAATATTCACAGGGTATAATCATGCAGCCGCGAAGAGAAATCGATTTCGACACACTTAATGAGT